AAAACACGGCCAACACGACTGGGCGTCGCCAGAAATCTAACTTTGAAGGCTGATTTCGAGGTGAAAAAAATTCGAAATCGAAAAATTTTTTTTGGAATATTTCCTTATATCATCTAGAGATGCCAAAACCGTAAAAAAATTCTAGACCTGATATACACTTTAAGCGGTTTAGTTTGGTATAGCGAAAAGCTTAGCATTCAACCACACAACTTATCCATGATAACAATACACTCTTTTAGCCTTTCTTTTCAGCGAGACGTTCTTAAAAACCACATAACCAGTCCCATTCCATAGGATTTATAAACACAGAGTATGCATTGTAAAGACCGTGTCTGCGATATTTTGACATCTGTGCCGGGAACAAGTTTTGACAATGACGTACTACACAGCTGATTCAAGTGTTACAGCCATGCGCGCCTTTGTCCCGGGGCTGTGGTGGCGGCTTCCTTCCTGCAGTATTATTTGTTCATGCCGGAATGTTTGAAAGACTTGATGGAATGTTTATTCGCTTTACTATTTTTAGGCGAGGAGAAGTTCCAGTATTTTTGTGTGGGAGATCAAACAGAACAAGGAAATAAGAGAAAATGAGGAAAAATGAGACGAAGAGAAAATTACTGATATTTGGAAAAGAATAAGATAAACAGGTTGTACAAATGAAAAATAGCAACCAAGGGGTTGAGGAAAAGCAACGAAGGAAGCGGAAAGGCGATTTTTAAAAAAATCGATTAAAACAGAAAAGCAAATAAATCATATTAGATCTACGACTATTGCCAAATTCTATTGTATCATATGCCCTCTTTAATCCTCAAGTTTTCAATACAACATCAGCATAAGCAGAAGAAATCTTCTCTGCTATCTCAAATGTTTTCACACTGAGACAAAGCTAGAAACGAGAAGTGCTTGTGGGCTCCCTGTGGTATCTAGTTTTTTTAAAATCACATGGGATACCTGTGTTAGTGAAAAACAAGATGGCGAACGTTGGTGTGCTATTTCGCCAGATTTGCGAAAGCCAACGTTTTGGCCGATTTTTCTTCTCCAGGTAAATGAAAAAGAGTAAAAATTACTAAAAGACTTGATAATAAAGCAATGGACGGCGTTAGCGTGGATGTTTTTTTTTTCATTCTATTTTTCTCTCAGTTTTTTAACACGGTTTTGTTGGTGTGAAACTTTTCATGTTGTTTGTTCTTGCAGAGGAAATTCTCTTCAATGTCGTAGTTTCAGGCTAATTCGTAACGAGTCCTGGAAAACTAATGACCATAATGGTGTAGAAGAACTAGTTGTGACTTCAGGAAGGACGAGGTTAATAATGAGGCCCTTGGTCTTCACTGTTGTTGTAAGTTTGTGTAACTGTTGCATCATGTTGTATAAAGAGTGCAGTCTTGGGCTAACCACTACCAGTAGAGTGGGACTTGATTAAATAACTGAACTGTGAAGAGTATTGGCTAAAACATATCATGACAATTATCAAAATGTGATTCATTGATTGTGATCTTTACCAACGACTGTCAAATTCATCAACATCATCTTTTTTCGACATCATCATCATTATCAATCGTCATCATGATCATGATCAGCATCAACATCCATATTATCACAATTATCATCAAAAAACATCTTTTTCAACATCAAAATCCTTAATGACAGCAAAATAATATTTTCATCATCATCATCACTATAATCATCTTGCATCATCATCATTCCCATCATCATTAACAACATCTTTTTCACCATCATCATCGTCAGTAACATCAAAATGAAACTTTCATGATCATGAACATCATCATTATCATTATCACCATCATCATCCTCTTTTGGATCATCATGATCTTATAATCATCACTATCATTATCATCATCATTATCCTCTTTTTGATCATCATGATCTTATAATCATCATTTTTGTCATTCTCATCAGGACATGTATGATGATTTACACAAAGGTTTTCTGGGTTTTTTTTCTTCAGGCAAGTGGAGGCTCCTTCGTAGGCTGTGCTATTCTACAGTATGAAAGGATCAGAGCAAGCTACTCCAACTGGAGCCAAAATATTAAATCACTAGATTTTCCAAAATTATTTGGATTCCGACAAAAGGTAGTTTGATTTAGCAATTTTAAGTGTTAGTCCATAGTCAATAATACTTATTCTCTATCTATATTTTCTGCTGATATGACAAAATTATCTATTGTTATATTTTATATTTTAGTTAAATAGATGGTGGAAAACCTTACCTGATGGTCGAAAGACTGCCACAGGTATGATTACTGACGTAACTCTGGAATACTCTCAATTTTTAGAAAAATGTTGAATAACATTGAAAACTGCTGTACCATATTTTTCTCTTATTTTGCTTCCCAGGAATTATATTTCTAAATGCTGTTGTTTTCTTGCTATGGAAAATACCAACACCACAAGTACAATCAGCAATGTGGAGATGGTTTGTTTCTCATCCTATTATCGGTAAGTCTTTTTACTTTTATGTAATATAAGCCGACAATGAGGACTGGACGTCCGATATTGGAGGCTTTGAAATAACTTCTCATGCTCATTATTATTCGACTTGGAGTAACTGGAACAAAATTAGTTCAGTCCTAGGACTCAATTAATTTTGTTCCAGTTACTACAGACTGAATTCAGTCATTTCACATGACTTTACCAGGTTTCAAGTAACATCATGTGACCCAAAAATAGCCCATTGATTGGCTGGTTTCCTCATGAATTATTAATGAGTATGAAAATACTGTTTTCATTGCTATGCACTGATCAAGAAAAAGGCTGTGACAGCAAAATAGAGCAGGTGCATGTTACATCATTGCAGCATCTTGGTTGATGATAACAAAGCATTCCTCATTAGCTTCTCTCGTTAGATCAACCAACATGGCCGCTGTTTCATTGTTATTTATATCTCAAGGGATTTTGTCACATTGTTGCACACACTGTATTGGCAATAGACTACTTTCAATCAAATAAATCCCATGTAACCTTGTGATGATGTTAGTCACCAAAATCAACATAGGCTCTAGGAAATATGAGAATATCCAATAAGAATAAATACAACTTGTTTTATCTATTGGTTGATATGGTAACATTTGTTTATCATTCCACAGCACCCCCCTTAACCCTTTTAACAAGCTGCTTCAGTCACATAGACTTCTGGCATGTTGCCATTAATATGTATGTTTTATGGAGTTTTGCGCCGACAATTGAAGGTAAGAAGAGAAAGAGTATGAGATAGGGCAGATTCCCATATAATCTTACTGTTGCTAACCTATATTATTATATTCAAGAGGTGTGAGCCATTGAATTGGTTCGCAGAGTGTGGACACCACATGGTTTTTCACAGGCCTTGAAAAGTCCTTAAAAATGCATTCGGTACTTGAAAACTCCTTGAATTCTAAAATTTTGATTTTTGTCCTTGAAAAGTGCTGGAATTTTTCTTTTGACTCCTTGAATAATTCATTTTTGTCCTGGAATTTCTTGGGTACTATCTAAAGTATATTTTTTCATCTTTAGAAAGAGGAAAACCTTGGTTAAAATTACAAAAATGATTAAAATAATACATAAAACAGTAATTTTCGGTTGTTTTGCGGGTTTTGCGGTATTGTGGGTAATTTTCAAGATAGCATAGGGCTCCTTCAAATTTGGTAATTCAGTTACCCCCCTATTGATTTCAAGTAAACACAAGGAGAAGTACTGCATGTTTAAATTTTCATTTTGCTTCACTGGTTAGATCTTTTCTGTCCTTGTAGTCATTGAAAATGACCATTAAGTCCTTGAAACGTCCTTGAAAAGTCCTGGAATTTTTTTCTTAAATTACTGTGCGAACCATGACACCATAATTTATAGTACTGATGCCATACATTTTAATCTTAATGAAATGTGTATCATTCCTTACAAATGTCTATTCAGCCTGCCTCTATAAGGGTTTGAAACTGACTTATCCCCAGTTGTCTCTTATTTTAAGAGTGTGCACAAAGGGTCAAGAGAAGGGGGAAAGAAGAGCGATGCCATCTCTTCCTCTTCCTACTTCCCTTCCCTTGACCCTTTGAGCGCGTAAGAGAGACGACTAGGGACAAGTCAGGTATTGAAACTTGCAAGAGTCCAAGAGGGTCTATGGAGGGTACATTACAATGTGTATCTAAAACTTCTAAGGATTGATAAATTAAGTAAATTATATTTTATATACATTAATGCTACTTTTATGGAAACATGGAGGTGCAGGAAGTGGGGTCAGTAAAATATAAATCACCCTGTTGGATATTTTGTGGGAATGAATTATCTTTGCATTCCATTCAGCACTCCTAATAAAAATTTAATGAACCTTTTTTTGTGCTGTTGCAGCTCTTCTCGGCAAGGAACAGTTTATTGCTTTTTATCTTTCTGGAGGTAAGAAACTTTGATGATTATGATGGTGATGATGATGATAATGATGATGATAGTAATGATGATAGTATTGGCAAAGATTAGGATGGTGATGATGATATTGAAGATGATGATTATGATGATGATGGTGATGATGATTATGATGGTGATCATAATGATGATGATGATGGTGATGATAATAGTGTTGGCGAAGATTATGATTGTGATGAAAATTATGATGATGATGATATTGAAGATGATAATAATGATTATAATAATGATGATTATGATTATGATGATTATGATGGTGATTATTATTATTATGATGATGATGATTATGATGGTGATGATGGTGATGATTATGATTATGATTATGGTGATAAAATTATCCTGTGATACGGAAAATAGTTGTATTTTCCCCCCCTAACAGTGTTCTGGGTGGTCCCCTGTGTTAGTGGTTGGGGTACCTGTGGGTAGCATCTTGAATGTACATGTACACTGAGAACATCATGCAAAAACTGTAGAATTTTAACACTGAAATTATTTCAAACCTCCTCTACCCGGATTTTCTCACAGGAATAATAGCCTCATTTGCAAGCCAAGCATTCAGAATTTTAGCTAAACAGCCTATTCGCCCTTCTCTTGGAGCTGTAAGTAAAGGGTTCATAAAAAGTTATAAAATCACGATGATAATGGTAAAGACCTAAAATAAGTGTTCCTTCAGCTAAGATGGTGCGCACTTTACCCCCTTTCTCCATCAGTGCTCTGTTTTAAGAGTATTCAAAGCTGAAGCTATACAGATTAGAGAGAAGTCGAAAGAGAAAGCCCACGTGCGCACTAACCAACGCAAGCTAATTTCCCCATGTAATAGTATTGATGATGATGATTATGATGATCGTAATGATCAAACGATACAGTCTGCATAGTAAATATTTAACAATTATTCGCCTCAGGCTCACTGAATATCGGGGAATATTTACCGAGACGCGAGTCTTTCAGTATCACACAAGTGAATTTAATAAATAACGGAGAGAGTTTTTTCCCAATTTTATTTATCTCTGCAAGCGGCACACATCAACAAACAAGCGTGCGCGTGTGCATTATATTCACCTGTAGGTCGATATTCTTCGTTTGCACATTACCTCATCGCGGCCATGTCGGTGCCATTTAACAAAAGATTTCTTATTAGCATCCATTGTTAACGGCACCACAATGGCCGCCATGCTTTTGTCTTTTAACTCTCTTGGGAATGCTTGCAACCCATCAATAGTAGCATAAGATATAAATTGTGAGCAATGAGCGCGCCAGATTTATTATATTCACTTGTGTAAAAATACTAAATGTTTATATTATATTTTCACTAACCGAATCATATTATTTCCGGATTCTCTTCACAGTCTGGGGCGCTATTCGCTGTTCTTTCATACGTTTGCATCAGTCTCCCTGACACAGAACTAGCTTTAGTTTTCCTGCCTTGGTTTACGTTCTCTGCTGGGAAGGTAGGCATTTGAATCAACTCTCTCGGTACCATGAAAAAGTCTTAAATTGGAATCTAAAAAAAAAAACTCGTCCTCACTTATCACCACCATAAGCACAGCAGTGGCGCAGCTCAAAGCTTGTGAAGGCGCCTCTGGCAGCCGTTTTTCAGTCAATGTATGACCCCAATGTTGTGTCAATGTTGCGTTTCGTGGAGGGAGGAAAATCGGAATCCAGGAGAAACCAAACAAACTACTCAAATGGGATGTCAAGGATATTTCATTTTTGAGCATAATTTTTTTTTGCTAAAATACCTTAATGGCTTAAAAATGATAACTTTTACAACAAAAGCTGAAAACGAGAGATTGACTGCGAAGTCGACTTTTCAGCGTAAGAAATTTCCCTAACCAGGTCATGAAAGACCGGGGACTGTTTTTAAGTTCATCTAAAGTACTTCCCCTTCAAACTTGGAACATTTTCAAACCAAAAGAAAATTCCCCTGTCCTCTGAGGAAATGTTTTCATGGGGATTTTCCTCAAATGACGCGTGGCATTTAAAGGAAACTCCCCTGACCTCAGGAAATGGGGTCTCTATGGGGAATTATTTTCATTATGTCACGCAAGTGCGTTACAAGGAAATTCCTCGTGCAGTTTTCGTATGGCTGTAAAAGAGTCGGTGCCATATGCGTGCCTTGCCTTGACCATGATATTGTATAGAATTTTGATTGGGGGATTTTTATCACGTGCAACGTAATTGATCTAGCCACAGGTAGCCCAAGCTAGGTTTCTGTGGTGTCATGTTATAAGAAAATGTATGGCGATACTTAAAAAACTTAATAAAATCGTCAAAATTTGAAATAAAGACAATAAATTTTAGCTGGCCTTTGAAAAGTAGTACCTCTTTCGCCCTGTGTGCTTAGCTTTCGGATTTAATCAGTTTTAACGTTTTTTCCCCACTGTTTTCTCAACGAATCACGCAGTCAATCTTCCACTGATATGTATGTGCTGTTGTTCTATTCAGGCTTTAATGGGAGTGGTAGCATTAGATGTAGCTGGACTGCTGTTCAGATGGCAAATGTTTGATCACGCGGCACATCTAGGGGGAGCGGTATTTGGCGCGTAAGTAAAGATAAATTGTTATATACAGATAGTTCAAATTCTAATTTTGTCGAATTGGGTTTTGCGGAGGGAGGATAACTGGAGAACCCTGAAAAATCAATGTCAATGTGTTTTTTTAGGTTATATCTAAAATATGGTCATCATTACCTGTGGGACAAGAGAGGATGGCTGATAAAGAAATGGCATCGTTTACGAGGGAAATCACCTACCCCTCCTCCTTCCTGATCGTTGTCGCCTTTAGAACAAGACAAAACGTGACGGGCTGATCGTTTGTCTGAGTAACTCATTACAGAAAACTTACTATCAGCCTCGATAAAGAGCAAAGCCCAAGTCGTCTTTTTGCACGGTAAGGCTTGTTGTTCGGCCCTTCGTTCCTTGACTACAGACCTAAAAATGAGATGAAATTGTAGTGGTCAATGGAGTTGGAGTAAAGAAAAAATATATATATACAAAACAGTACTTTTGAACGTCCTGGCTCAGAAAACAGCCGTGTCGACGCATTTCAAACTACAGTTTGCTTCGATTTCTCTGTGTTTTTTCGGTTTCATCTCAACTGATGTAATGTTTTATTTTGACTTTGGAATGATGTCCCAAATAATGTAAGATTATTTTTAAATAACTTGAAATATGAAGTAAAAAGTTGCATGAAAAGCTGATTTTTCCCCCTGAAAAGCTGGTGGGATTTGGCGGGAAAATTAGCCATGGCTGTGCGCGTGCGCGGTTCTCGTGTTCTTTTGACGTTCTTAGTTTTGTAACCGAAAACAAATGATATGAAAACGAAACGAAACGAAAAAAAAAACAACAACAACAAACAAACGATTATTATGATAGGATGGGTTTTTATAATGGGATTTGTTCATAAGTCGCGAGACCTTGGATCTCTACAGCAAGCAACGTTCGTGCTGTGAAGATAGACACATGTCTGCTGGCAGGATCCTGCCGGCGTACTACCCCACGCATTAGTAGAGCTTCTGTTTAGGTTTCTTTATAAACCTACACACTGTTTTAGAAATAATGCCTTTGATTTTTTGAGGCCTCTAATATTAGATTTGAATACATTTGTCCCTTTGGGGGGAGGAGAGGGTGATTAGAGGATATTTTACTTCATTTTCATTTTTAACCGTCAGTACTTTGTGAAAAAATTTCAAAGAAACCGGATGAGTGATTAATGTGAAAATAAATAGATAAACTTTCAATAAAAGAAACTAGACTCAAACTTCATAACTTAGGTACACAGGATAACAAAATGTTTTGTTATCTTGGTAAGTTTCCGTGAAGTCACCATCCTGTCACGTGACACGGTTGGATACTAACAAACCTTGTCATTTCACACGCTGTTTTCGTTGTCTACGAGAAGCTACTGAGACCTCTAAACCATCCAGTATATAGATGATTTGTTTACTTCCTTACAAATTATTGAATACATATAAGGTAGCTCTTGTCAAAACGTTACGCATGCCGGGTAACTACAGACGCTGAACCGTATTCCAACGTAGGTTCAAAACTAGACAGTAATATACATATATATCTCAACGACCAGTCAAGCAAAGCAATAATAATTTTATCCAATATCGGAAAAATTCCATGACTTTTTTTTCTTGACTTCTTTCCCTCGTCAAATAAACCCATCATCATAAAACAATTTAGAAATGAATAAATGTTTGATTAATCCTTGATTTACCGGTATTAGTTCGCAGCTTGAAGTCAAAAAAATCAATCTTATTGTATTAAATCTAGTTTAAATCGTATTTTCGTTTTTGTTTCCACGAAAATTAATCAACTCAAATGCAGTAGCACTTCCTCTGAATTAGGAAATGATTATTGAATCAAACAAGTCATTATTCTTCGAAAACTGAGCGTTTTTCGAACCGGTATTTCAGTTTTTTTCATAGAGAAACGTGTGTAGTATCGAAGCATCTGGCACAGCTTGGCATTAAACTCAAATATCCCCAACAAAGAACGAAATTAAATCTCATCTAGTTCAGAATGTTAACTAGTTGTTTAGAATTGGTTTTAATTTCACTGGGATTAAACTATATTAAATGTAGGAATATTATTGAATATTTGTACTTGAAACTAGTATTGGTCAGTTCTTGTGTTGCAAGGCAACGACCATGGCAAAGTCAAGGTGCTCAAGCATCATACTTGGTCAGTTTAAAACACCAAACCAGACAGATCTTAAGTACGTCGGTACTCCTTCGAGCACAAACCTTTTACTATGTACAAGACAAATGAAATAAAATTACAATTTATGATTTACTTTTCTAGTTAGTGATTCTTCCTAAAACATTTCTCCTATCATCGTGAACAAATCTTGCTGGATTTTGCTGATGTTTTTCCGTCTCTTGTTTAGTTTATCTTTATCCCGCTGTTTTAGAAGGAGTTCTGTCTTGACATGATTCTGGTTATGACACCATAAATTAGTGACTTGGTTCGACGAATCATCACAGATTTACTCTTGATTGACTATCAATTTCCCAGGTTTTTACTTCATTCACTTTGCTTTTAGACGGCGGAAAAAGACAAAATTTATCGTCGTATCCTCGCATGAACAATTCCAGTTGGTCATTCGAATTTGGGATTTAACTTCTGTTCTAATTATAAATTATTTCCTACTCTCTAATCGTGACTTTCTATATAATAAATTAAACAACGCTATAAAAAATTTTCGATAATGTCAACTTTTCTCAGGAGTTTGTAGTAGTGTTTGGGTCTTGTCTTCCTGTACAGAATCTTCGTCCTCTTTCATTTCCGTATCGACCGGATTGCGTTGAGTTTCTTGCTTGTGTTGTGGAGTATAAACTTCCCATTCATACGGTCCATCTAGAGGCTTGTCAGATTTAGGATCAAAATTATATTTACATCTCATTCTCTCTGTTTCCTCTCGTTCTAATTTCTGTGTTTCTCTGTCCAAATCTCTTTGTATTGCTTCATGATCTACTGGATACAGAGCTCTTTTAGCTTTGCTTCTGTTCGGATCCATCTTCGTTTTACCAGATCCTGTCAACCCGGCTTTAAAGTTGTTTACCTTATACGTGCAAGATCGAACCTGCAAGAGTCAAGTTTTATGTTTCAATTTAAGCGATCTCGTAATACAGAAATGACAATAAAATCTTCGAGTCATCGACGTGCGTGCCTGGGCTTGTTTTCGTCTTACGGAAAAACCAGTCAAGCGTCCAAAGAAAAAAATTGATCTCGACTCAAACCTAAATTTAACATCAAAATTCACTTAAATATAATCACAAATTTGCCCAATTTTTCCGAGAATTTATTTTAATAATTTCAATTACTTATTTATTGTTTATGTGTGTGAATAAATAGTGCCAAATCATCACTTCTGAGAAACATTATATGTATTGTTTACGGTTGCGTGACTGTAATTAAAAATCGCCCGTGGGAAAACTCGGAGATGTGTACTTTATATCATCAAAATAAAGTACATTCGCCAGCTCGTTAATATAAAATACATTAAAGTAGCAAGAGTGTGAAAATCAATGAATAAAGCGAGATATTTTCATGTTTTTTTTTAAATGGGCTTGGATTGTACAGAAGTCAAAAAGCAACATGCCATTGTGTTACCTTGTGTTGTTATCATCAAAAGCCGGTTGTCTTTCGGCGTTCGGGTATTTACCTCCTCTCTTTCACTTTCGACTACTTCACAGTTGTTCAGAGTTATAAACATTTACCATAGATCCAAGGGCTTGTATATTCCAGAGTTAAAGCTAAAGCAAAAAGGACAGGCAGTTCTTAGCGATCAAAGACCCCAACACCTGTTTTCAGCTGTCAAATGACTTTTGTCACTGTACAAGCTTCCTTGATATCGATGTGAAAATATGTCCAAACTTCCTTCAGAAAATTGAAAAGTAGTGTTCTAAAGTCAAGAAGCCAGTAGAGAGATTCGGATGCCAAAGAAAATTGACGTAGTTTGAATTCTTCACAAACAGGTTAGTTTAAACTTGCCCGAATATCATATCAAAGAATGCTTTTAGGTATTATTACCACATGACGTCATCATCCATCATGTCATTAAGCACAGGGAGCCCAATTCTAGATTGACCACGAACTTCCCCAGCTCAAAGGAAAATTTATAGTCTTTGGCTGCTTTCCAACTACGTCTTTTAGATATTCGAGTATTATTTTAGCCGATTTTGGATGATCAACGAATAATTCATAGCTGGAGCGTGAGATGAACCGGGGATTTTTCGAGCTGAGCTGACACACCCATGCAAAAACAAAATAAAAATAAATGAAAATAAAAGCATATTTTTTAATTTTAGTTTTATTATTTTGGAAATCTTAAACCCCTTCTTCCTGTGTTGTTACTATCGCTGTGCCGTAAACATGGTCACCAAGGAAGAAATTTAACCGACTAAACTAATGTTTGCGTAGTTGCTTCAGTGGGACGGCCGGAAATGTGTGGATCTTAATTTGCTGAAATATTATGAAATATTTCAGTTAGTCAAAAACAATGTCAAAAACATTTGGAGAATTTATTTATAATGCTGTCATTTTTTTCAGCCAATAGAAGATTGGGAACATCGCTGTTTATTTGCGTCTCCAGTATTTCCCATGGGAGAGGGGGTTGTTACCACTGATCAACAAATTATCCCTCTTTTCCCTCCCAATGATAATTTAACTAGCAATCGTCCTTGTTTTTCGTAGGAAACATTAGGCTGTCGCTGCATGTGACCCTAGCTTGTTTTATGAGTGAATTAGAAGTTGATTTTCACCGTGAGTCAACACCAAGACCCCCAGGGCAACCCCTTTGTTACCATTAACTATTCTAAAATCATTCCTTTATTTGTTTGACCCAGTTTTCTAAGAAAATGATTGCCCTCTGAATTGTTCTATTTCATAATGACGTCACATCCAAAAAAAAAAAAGTATTGTTTTAACGCTAGGGATCACGGTCGCTGGAGGGGGATGGAATGACAAAAAAAACATCTTATATCACAATGAAATTTGGTCTATGAGCTGGTGAAGTCAAGAACAACTAAATATTACGCTAAATATCTCCAAAGAAGAGAATTAAGCTTAAATTTATTCTAAATTTCTATCATTTTAGCCGATGTAAACAAACCGTGACGTCATTATGAAATAGGGCAATTTCCTAACAATTCTCTCTCGCGATGTTGATCGATAGACTGGGAACGAGGATGCAAATCGAGTGAAGTACAACATGATTTTATTACTCTATTATACATTTTTTGACACTGGTACTGACGTCCAGCGCATAATTATAATTCCACCACTATATACAACATCAAATGTTTTTCTAGAATACATCAAATTCTTCCATCTAATCTTTGTTTAAATTTCGCAAGTTCATTGAGGACTTGTCTCTCTTCCTCTAAGAATGAAGAACCAAGTGATTCAACTTCGGAAGGTTCTCGGACAAGCTCGGGTTGAAAAATCCGACGAGCCTCGGAAGACGGTCGGAGTGATTTCATACGAACTTCGTTGTATTTGGCTTGAACCTGAAAAAACCAAATGTTATTTGTGGTTATGCACATATTCTTAACCCTCAAGCCTGAAGCCATTAGCATCCCCACATCAAAATGAAGGAACTCAATGTTATCCAAGACTGGGACGGGGCTACCGTGTCCAATGGTCATGGTGAATAGTGAATGAAAAAGAAGTACACAGTTCTTGTTCTCTCGTTCACTTCCCATTTACTTGCCATTCATTCAAACCTTACCTCATCTAGTAGTTCCTTGGCTTTGGGGAACTGCTTGCGTAGCTTAGGATCTTTATGGTAATCTTCGATAACGTTTGCTATGTAAAATAAACGAATGAAAGAATAGATAAGAAAATGACCGAGATCGATGGTGTGTTGTTGTTGTTGATGATGATGATGCTGTGTTGATAACGATGGTGTTGATGATGATGACAATGATGGTGTTGATGATGATGACAATGATGGTGTTGATGATGATGACAATGATGGTGTTTTGCTGATGATGATGATGGTGTGTTGATGATGATGGTACATGATGATGATGATGATGGTGTGTTATTGATGATGGTACATGGTGATGATGATGTCAATGATGCTATGTTGATGATGATGGTACAAGGTGATGATGATGATGATGCTGTGTTGATGATGATGGTATATGATGATGATGATGCTGCTTTGATGATGATGATGGTTAGTTGATGATGATGGTACATGGTGATGATGTTAATAATGGTGTGTTGATGATGGTACATGGTGATGATGATGATGGTGTGTTGATGATAATGGTACATGGTGATGATGATGATGATGCTGTGTTGATGATGATGGCATATGATGATGATGATGGTGTGTTGATGATTATGGTACATGATGATGATGATGCTGTGTTGATGATGATGGTACATGATGATGATGATGGTTGTTGATGATGGTACATGGTGATGATGATGTCAATGATGGTGGTGATGATAGTGATGGTTGTATTGATGGTTGTAATGATTGTAGTTATCATGATGGCTAAGTGATGATGGTGGAGATGTTAATGACAGTAGTGATGATTATGATGACGATATCTCAGAGGACAGTACTAATTCTTACCTAAATTTGACTCTATAATTTTGTTTCCCATTCTCATTTTATCCAGTAGTTTACTCATCTCCTCCACTTTGCTTTGCCGAGACTCCTTAGGTTTTGGTTCAACCTAAAAGAACAAAGAAAAAACATGAGCGAACTCAAGCTAACGCATTCTGTCATGGAAAAAGCTTTTAACCTTGATACATCAGCTATAAATCACGTTGAAGGTGGTCATCATTGGCTAAAAGAGTCCATGACTGGACTATTATTTGGCATGAGGATTTTCTTCATCCTACCTTTTTCTTAGGTTTTTCCTTATAATTCCCTTGTGGTTCTGTAAACACTAACGGATGTTGTAGCGTGTACTGCAGTGACCGCACACTCTCTTGTATCTTTTTGGGTATTATTATATCCGGGTCGTTCTCGTCGACATCGAGCAGGTCTTCATACCCCTTGTATTTTGCTTCTACACTGAACGGACGATCAGGATGCTGGTGCTTGGCTTTCCTGGATTTTTTCTTTCTTGGCCGTGGGGTTTCTTTGTTGGCGGGAGTTTCTAAGAATTCTGGTTCGTCGATCTTTGAATAGAATAATGCACTGAGTGAGTTAGATACTGTACAATCAGTAATGACTAGAGTATAAGTATAACATTAAAAGAAACAAGACGGCTATGCTCGAGAATACTCCATTTATGACGACATATGGAAAAGCCGAAGCGCAGGCCGAACGGATGAAAAAGAAAATCGTCAAACTCGTTGCGTTATGAGTTGACAACTGCTACTCGAATTAACAATCCACGTCCAACAAAATGCTTGATATAGAAACTTTTTTCTTTTAGCAACACAGAAATTTGTTATTTCTATCTTACGAGTTAAATTGCTTTACCGTCATAAAGTCAATGAGACGGTTGAGCACCACGAACACGGGTAACTATTTACTGTGGGCCCTTATTGTTGTTCTCAGCTACTATTCTTATAATATAAGAATTGTAGCGGAATTTCAAGTACCTGAGTCATAAAGAATCCTTCATCTGTCTGCGTCTTCTTTCCTGCTGCTTCATGTTTCCTCGTATTCGTAGTATCAACACTAGAAGTAGCCTCTCCGGTAGTCTTAACTTCCTCACTCTGATTTCCCATACTTTCTCTATCGAGACTCGTCTGTTTGGATTCAGGGGGGACACTCCTAGATCTACTGTCTGTCTTGCGGTTTTTAGTATGTCTGTCTGCCATATTAGGAGCTGTTGATAGCTGTCTGGGTGTAACAGCACGACTCTGATGTCGTGTCCTTATCCCTGAAGGGGCTGATATAGGGGGTAGGGGTCTTGGTTGTGGCCCTACGTATGAGATGGCTTCGCGTTTAGAAGGACTCTCTAGCATGAAGATATCACGCTTCCTTGGTGCTGGTGGTAAGGTATCGTCCACCTGTGGAAATATATAATAGTGCAAAATAAGTATTTATTTAGAACTTTGCAATGGCAGAACCACTGCTCAGGTTTGATGAGTTGGAACCATGAATTGCCCAGCTGAAACGCTTAATTCTGGGTGTCCATACAACGACTATTCCTGCTCTTAGTTTTGGAGAAATTTGAGTCCAAAATTTCGGATTTCACTTTCAGAGGAGAGTTCCCTCAGGTAATACTACCCCTCTCCTCTAGTTTGGGTCCTGTATTATGACATATTTTACTGAGTGCAGGGCCGTAGCCACAAATTTCTGATTGGTCCGGTTTTCGAGGGTTTTCGGTTTTTCTTACATTTTCAAAATACGGCTACGGCAGTGGCTACGGCACTGGAGTGAAAACCTAACTTACCTTTCTGTATTGAGCAACATTCGATAGATTAACATGATGCTTGGTTCGTTTAACTGGTTTCTGTCTGAAGATCCTTACACCTTTCAGTTTACCAAGCCGTATAGAGAGAAGGGGTGGGTCACCCTTGAAGGCCGTGGTTAGGGGGTTACCCCATATTACTAGTTCCTTAATGCGTGGCCAGCCAGCGACAGCAAACAGACCTTCTTCTTCAAACACCATGTTGTTTGCAAGGTTTAGATGGAGTAGTGAGGGGAATGGCAATGGTGGATTGTACTTTTCTCCTATAGATGAAAAAATGTATGAAAAAATGAACGAAAAAAATGAACAATAAATGAATGAAAAAATGAATGAAAAAATAAACGAAAAAATGAATGAAAAAATGAATGAAAAATGAATGAAAAAATGAATGAAAAAATGAACAATGTCATAGTGGATTGAGGCAGGATAAATGGTTGATTGTACTGGTTTCCTATGATTATAGTAATAGTCCAATATATGAGTCAACAATTTGAATAAATGAATGAAAAAATATATAAAGATGAGATAAATGAATAAAATAATGAAATATATGTCTCCATCATTTCCCATTTCATTTCCCAAAGTTACCAGAATCCCTTACCCAAGAGGGATGCATCTTCGGTTAATGTGCTTGAACGGTGTCTTATTCCCATTCCATTTGTCATTTCATCTTTATCATCACCAGGAAGCTTCTTGCTCAACATCTCATCGACTCCATCAAGCACCAGGTCATCTTTATCAGCTTCAGGAGTGTCTCTCCCTTCCACTTCTCTCTCATCCTCAATCTTCTGTTCATTTTGTTCAGCGGTTCTTTCTTTTGCAGTCTCTCTTTCTTTTTGGACTGAGATACGACCCTCGCTCTGTCTTACTCTAGCTCCAAGAAGTCGGAGATGTGGAATAGAGGCAACTTCATTGTTTTCCAAGTTTAGGTATTTTAGTCTAGAGAGGAATTAGGAAATGGGAAAATGTGAAAAATGTGAAAATCAAATACCGTAAAGATTCAAGCATGAAGCAGCAGACTCCCTTGTACCCCTATTGGCTAGTGTATCTTATTGCCCTATGATGTCCCAGGATGCATCACAAGTACACAAGAACAATAATATTTTTGTTTTTATCACAAAAGAACCTAGTTGTTATCTCAGCACACAGCATCTTTCTCCATCCCCACTACCCCAACATATTCCATGATGCTTCACAAGTATTTTGCTCACAGCTATTCACATACAGACAGCAGAATTACCTTCTTAGACCAGCAAGGCTGGAAAATGTTGAAGTATCAGTAAGTTCATTGTTATCCATGAAGAGATTTTCCAGTCTTTGAAAACGAACTTTTCTATCTTCAGATTCAACAGTCCCTGACCTAAAAAAATATTTTTAAGAAAAAGTTATATAAAATTATGCAAAACACTATTTTCAATGGCTTAGTGAGTTATCATGATGATGGCATGAAGTAATATATATATATATATATATACAATACTCACAAAGTAATCCCAGTTATTGCACGATAGGTTCTTGCCATCTCTAATGGCAACCTTTTGATTTCATTTCCTAAAAATGCATGTATCATATAAACTAGTTAATGCCAGATGCAGGAACCATAGAGAGAGAGGAGCTGGGGAAGTAATTAAGGGAGGGGGGGAGGAGGGGGGACAGAATCCTGACCCAATTTTTACTACTATCTGCTAAATTCTCAATGTTCAGCCCCAGGGGTGTAGTGAAGGGGGTTGAGGGGGTTAAAAATCATAAATTTTCTTTACTATCTTTTGGGCTACCTGTGGATTTGCAGGGAGTTTTCATGCCAAAAGCTAGTTTGCTTGCCTCTTCAGCTCTGGTACTCTCACTATGCACTGTTCAGCCCCCCACTTCTAGTTATATGCAAGCTCAGATCCAGGGGTGGTAAAACAATTTCCTGTAACCCTTTGCAAATAAGTATTCTACATTGATAAATCAAACTTTTTACCTGTGAGGTGAAGTGTTTTCAAGCATGGTAATAAGCCTAAGTCTAAGATATCTTCTGATGTGACTCTGTTGTAAGATAAGTCTAGCTTCTCAAGGTACAAAAAGTCATGAGGCTCTAGCCTGATGCTTCCAGATATGTTATTGAGTGGTATCTCAAGTTCACGTAACGAAATGAAGTTCTTGAAAGCATCTAAAGGGAAGGGATATAGACAATACATCAATGTTAATACTGTGTATTGAATTGTTCAGTGAAAATATTTTGAATTGAAAATTACATAAATATTATGATGATAATGATGCTGATAATGCAGTTGTTGTTAGTGGTGGTCATGAAGATGATGGAAATAATGATGATGATGGTGGTAGTGGTAGTGGTAGTAGTGTTGATGATTAAGTGGTGATGGTGCTCAGATGATGATGGTGGTAATGGTGATGGTGATGATGATTAAGTGATGGTGCTCGGATGATGATGGTGGTAGTGGTAGTGGTGTTGATGATTAAGTGGTGATGGTGCTCAGATGATGATGGTTGTAGTGGTGGTGGTGGTGATGATCGTGATGATAATGCTCAGATGATGATGGTGGTAGTGGTGCTGTTGATGATGACTGTGATGATGATGGTAGTGGTGGTAATAACTAAGGATGATGATAGTGGAGATGATGATAGTAGGGATGATAGTCAGATTGTAACATTAGTGATAACATTCATTAGATACTTTACAGGAAAATCTAATGATACTATAGTTACTCACTGAATGGTAAATTATTGTCACCAGCATCCACATGGACAACATTATCGAACAAAAGAAAATCATCTTCTGAAACCTAAAACACAACCAAAAACAATAATAAGATAATGAACTTGTTAAATATATGTTATGCACAAATACTACATGTACATTTTATATTACAGCCGTAACCCTTCCGCCTCCCATTAATGTGTAGTTCCAAAAATCAACCATACCCACCCAACAGGGGAATTTGGAATTTCTGAAGAGTAGGGGGGTCAGAGAAAGAACAAAAATTACAGAGTTTGTATGGAAGAAAATTGGAATTTCCGGGTGGTAGGGGGGTGTCTTAAAAAAGTCCTCCATGAGGGGGGTATGGATAATTTTTGGAATTGCACAATGGAGGTTTATGGATGTTGACATGTACCCACAGTTAAAGGATCATCCTGTGATCTGGGGTTTCATTAAGAAAATCCCATCATGACTGGTTGAGTTAGTAATACCGTTTGTATGGTTTAAATGTTTTCCCTTTACAGGCCACATATCATTTTCTTTAGAATAAGATCATAATTTCTTAAACAAAGAAATGATACTCTAGGGAATGACACATGGTCTCTAATGTAAAAACATTGCATCACCACAAATAAGGTCTATTAGTGTGGTTCTCAGAAACTTTAACACTGTGGCATTGAAGATGCCCAAGTCCCAGATCATTTGATGTTATTTATACTAACCTCTGACAGGTCATTGCCACTGATGTTTATGGAACACAAATCAGATGGGTCTTCCACATAGAATTTTCTCATCTGCAAGTGGGCAAAATTTAGTCAATAAGGAACAAAATCCTTTATGAAATGTACTTCTCCATTTGGTAATTGTCGAGTTATAATTTTCTTGGAATATTTGATGTCTCAGCGAACAAGGAAGAAGAAATATTCTATTGATTGACAGTGTTTATTCATCAATGTCTCTTGTGCCAGAAAAACTGATAAATTTTGCAAAGACAACAGCGCAAGCACATGTGTGTACACTTTCGCCTTTGAGTTTGGCACCCTGATCAGGAAGTCCACGTCAGGTTTTCTGGATATGAGGAAGACGTAATTTGTACGTATTCTTAAAGAGTTTGGCACGCATCCCATCACCTTCAGACTACATGCTATTTATGAAATTGGATCAAAGTCTGTACTCTTAGCTATATAGCTTTATAATAAAGTTTCCAAATCTTTACTCATGACTGTAAAAATGTAAACATAAATGGCTAAGATGGTTAGGAACCAAAATCCATGCTATACTAGCTATACTAACACTGTGAATATCAAAGTATTCACGTGCAAAGCTTGCCTGATCACTATTCCATGTGCTATAATTTTCACATTCGTATGTAATCAACTGGGCTAAATGTAGAGAGTTTCAGTTGAACTAATTAGATGGGAATGTCTCAACATTTAAACTTTTCATTTTCGAATCCTTTTCTATTGAGCTATATTTGAAATTTACTGGTGTGGCAAATCCCCTTCAAGTAACATCTCCCCCTGCCCCACCCCCACACATACACACCCTCGCACTTAACTATTCGATGCACCCCAAATGTACTCCAATAAGATTGCAGTAGAGTTGTTTGTTGGTTCTCTCCTGTGCTTTGAGGGTTTTTCTCTGGGTTCTCTGGTTTTACCTCCTCATACAAAAATCAACATCTAAATCATAATTCTATATATTGGTAGCCTCATCAAGTGGGTTGCAAAACTTGTTAGGCATTCCACCTACCATGGGTGGTAAATCCAATTAGATTTAGATATAGTAATATCCATAATAACAACGATGAAAGCTGCCTTAGGAAGGTAGTGCAACTACATGCATTACACTTGTGCACAACTCTTAAGACTGGCTTCATTCTCAAAACATACTTACAACTATCGTTAAAAATAATCTAACAATGTGTCTTCAGTTCCTTAATTCTTTCTTAATCTGTCTGAGCAGATATCGTACTAGTATTCCTTGTTTCGTCAGTTTTAATGACTTACCAAATAAAATCCATCAAGCCTCTTTGCTTTTTCTTGAATCAGTTCAGGGCTTTGTCGTTTCCTCATAAGGCTTGCATCAGGCTCAATTTGTTGGACTGGTTCATTACTGAGGACGGCTTTGAAGCGGCGTCTCTGCTCAGCTCTATACGCAACTAGCCACGCACCCCCTAAATGGATAAACATGAGAGAAACAATAACAATGAGTATATTTAATAAAATAATAATAGTAGTCATAATATTATTATTGTGAACTTATAAATAGATGGAGAGATATATAAAACTTACAGTGGAAGCTTTCCAACATTTTCCAAAACAAATTTACAACTATATATGCATGAATTTTGGCTATTCAACTTACTTGATAAATTTAAACGATTTGTACAAATATCATGACTTCTTAATCAACATTTCCCAGCAACCAAAAAAATTCAATCTAATTTTGACTTCCCAAGAAAACATACTTCTTTTGTCAAAGCTCTAAGCATAATCCTTTAAGTGTATGGCTTTAATATTAAAGTTAGGTCATGTTTTAAGCCTTTAAAAGGTTAGGAAAAGGACCATACCTTCGTCAACTCTACGGTAGTTGGCTAAACTACGAACTGGAAAACATTGGCTTGAAAAACCAGTTGAAAAACTTCCGTTGCTGGTGTACTCTGTCATTATTTCGCAGTTATTGAGTACTATATAGAAAAGAGATCACAATGATTTGCAGAAAATTGTCAGTTTTATCTTTTAAATAGAATTTTTAGGTGAATAAACGACGCCATCTCAACAAGACACTCTTCACAAGGCAGCCGCCATATTGCTTTCCCTGTTGCTATGACGACTAATAAAGAGAGGTAAAAATTCTTCGTACCGGGGGAAGGGTCGGGTACTAAATTCCTCCGGGGAGAGGACAGTATATTGAAATCTTCTAAAGAAACTCAAATATACATTACCATTTATCCTATTGATTATCATACGACTAAGATGAGTAAAATAGAGGTTTTGAATCCATAGATTTGGCGATATTCTTGAAAATTATTTTTTAAAAGAAAGAAATATGAATTGAAGCATTTCTCCCACCCCTCCCTAGAGAGATTTTTGAGGACGTGGTTACACGGCATTGGCTTCTATTCCAAGATGGCGGCTCCAAAAGGAACTCTAGAGGTAATTTTCACATCTTCTTGATTTATGATTACTGTCTGCCATTGCATTACACAGTGTTCTTGTGGGGAATAATATCTTTAGTTAATATTTGGTTCAGTTGATTTTTGATTGTATTTTTTGATTCCCTTCCAAAATGTTACCGGCGAAATTTGGAAGAGGAAGTTAAAAAATTTGAAAGCATTTGATAGCTTGAATCGTTCTTATTTGTTCGCTTGTGCTTCTATTTCAAACAATTTAGTGATAGTAGGTTTATTGTGCTAAAAGAATATCTTAAATCAACTCGTTCTTTTATGCTGAGATGCAACGACGTCGAAAAGCTCAAAACCATTGTTATAAAAATCAAAAAAAAAAAAATGAATGAATGAATGAATGGATGGATGGATGCAAAAGGCCTGATACAGTTGAATGACAGACTGGCGATTTTTTACTTTCGTGTTCTTTTATTGGGGAGATTTTTTCTTTGTGAAATTTTACTGTCGTTCTACGCTAACTGTGAACACTCGAGTTTATTTTATTTTATTTTTTATTTGTTTAAATATATTTTTATACTTTTTCTTTCTTTCATTTCATCTCCTTGAATACGGTAGTTTTTATAGACTTTCAATACATGTAACTCAAATTCTATTGTTTTTGATTCGTTATCTGATTGGTTGACAAACTTGAGTGTTATTGGTTAGAGTAGAATGACAGTAAATGGAAGTTTGAATGAGAGTATTACCACATAATATTATTGTTTACTTGAAAGTGTACCATCTAAACATGGAAATCTTGCCAGTTATATATACACCTCAGAATATGCATAATATTATCTTTCAAAGGTAAGATTATGCTAGTAAATTCCTCAAGGGAAGAGAGGAGAGATGATTTTTACTAGTTTTGGTAGAATTCTTTGCATAGAGTTCTGTGAAAGCTTTTTCTAAGCTAGGGTTTCAACCTTCTTATTTCCTTCACCATTTTGACATCTGAGACCCCCAACTACCCATAATGTGTGCATGGCCTATTCTTAAATATGCGCACACATTTCATCGATATCTATATGCTACCTTGTCACCTATTCCCACAATACACTGACTTTTCTCTGGAGCCCTGTTAACCTATAATTCTTAAACTTGAGGGCTAAAACTAGTCATAGTAGGCATTTGAGGTTATTTGTCATCATTGTAAATACTTCATTTTACAATTACTTTCAGTGACTACTAATAATACTTCCAAGTCAAGGTTGGAGTTTCAGCGCATATCAAAACTCTACTTTTTATCAATATGCATGACAAATCCAACTTTGGCTTCATACTATTATTGGTATTAAATGGAATATTGAAACACTAATTACTGTGAGAAAAGAAATTCTCAATAACTTTTCTATAAACCGTGAGTAGGACAATGATGTTTTACACATCATGTTTTACTACCCCAGAATTTTTTTTTAATATTTAATAATGTCTCCTATTCATCTATATATTTAATGGTGCAAATAAAGTCTGTCCGTCTGTCTGTCCTATGACATCACAATCATTAGCATATTGTAAGAATAAACCTTTATATCTCCAAGACACTCAAATCACATAAAAATATTTTACCAATCAAATAGTCACCTTTTTTAGAATCAATACTGGAAATATTGAGTTAGGGGTGAGAGGCACTTTAAACCAACAAAAAAATGAAATGAAATTTCTTAATATAGAAATGAAAAGTCAAAACAAGATAATATTATGTACAGTGTCTGTTCTAGTTCCCTAGTCATCTTATTATTTGCTAATAATGCTTCATTTCATGAGATAAGACTTTTTAAAAGGCTTTTCCTTGTTACACAGAACCAAAAACTTATTACAAATCCTATTTATTTATATAAATAAGTTGTGTGGTGCTTTAATTTTGATAACTACTTTTACTAAGTTTACTTTGTAAATCAGTATGATGAATAAAAAATGACCTATTTTAGATTAATATTTGCTTTTTTTTTGTAATGCAAAGTGATTTAGTTCATAGCTACCACTTACAAAATGCATTTGAGTGGGCTCAACCAGTTTATTTTTCAAGTAGGTCTGTGAAAAAAGGACATTATACTCAGAACCACATGTGGTATGAAATAGCCAAAGACATTAATGGAAGGTTTTCATACCTTAAAAAATCAAAAATCATAAAAATCTAGTTTTGAAAGCTGCAAATGTTAACTCCCTTTATCACTACTAGTAAATGCTGCTTTCAAATTGCTGCTATCATTTTTTTAAAATATATATTAACAAATTAAATTATTTTCATTATCGCTGACCAGATGGTTCAACAGCAAAAGAGAAAAAAGGAAAAGAGCTTTTGAATTTAAATGAATCTTATGAAGTAATAGATTAAGTAATAGTTTCGGATTTTTAGACATGAGCAGTCAAAACGACAAATAGAGAAAAAGAATTGTTTGTCTTTCATATAAAGTATAGATAACAGATTTTACTTTGGCAAACACTCTTTCGGGATAAAAAGTGCATCAAGTTTACGTATTTCCGCAGTGAATATAAACAATTAATTAGAGTTTTTACCAAAAGAGAATGGGACTTTTTGCACTACATTTTGATTGACAGCTGTTAAAGGCGATGAACCTGAAAACCGTTCAATGAAATAGGAGTTTTATGACATTTTATTCCGCTCCAATCTACAGTATCACAAAAAGTTATCAAAGGTTGTAAGGTCGAGCGAGTTTATTATTTTATCAAGATATTTAAACAGCGAAAAAATGTTCAACGATAGTAAGCGAAAGTTAGACATGGCTCTAGAGCTCGCCACTCGAGGAACAACCACGACAGTTATAGAGAGTACGTTGTTCTTTCTTTTGACAATGGCCAGCCTGCTTGGAAATACTTTGATTCTACTTGCTGCTTACAGAAAGCCACGACTTCGCCAATCGTTCTATATCTACATTAATTCTCTTGCAGTTAGCGACATCATTATGGCTGTTGTAGCTATGCCTCTAGGTTGTCAGAGTGCAATGAAAGGTAAATGGGATTTAGGATTCCTTCCTTGCCAGATTCAAGGGTTTGTAGTTGCTTGTTGTGGGTTTGAATCCGTGGTTCTCATGTGCCTAATTGCTGTGAGCAGATACTTCAAGATGATTCATTCCTCAATGTACGCCAAGATCTTCACTCCAAAATTTTTCCATCTTTCCAATGCCTGTTCATGGTTTCTGATAGTTACCGCTCTTTTGCTGAACTCTATGTTCGTCGACTTCGCCTTCAACCCTGGTCTTATCCTCTGCTCTCTAAATTTCGACGAACTTCCCTTTATCCTAGCCTACTGGGTTACATTTTATTCCTTAAACTATTCAATCATATATTTTTGCTATTTCAAGATATGGCGTTTCGTCCGGAGCCACAACACTGAAATGGCGAACTCTCAAGTCAGGGCAGATGAAGTCAACATTTCCCGTATTCTATTCCTTGTAGTTTTGGCGTTTTCTTTTTCTGTGAGCCCGTTGTTTACTTGTGGAATCGTTGATGCTATCTCAGGGCTGTACTCTCTTCCTCGTCCAGTCTATGTAGTTTCCGTGTTGTTTTATGGTTTGAGTTGCTGCATCAACCCTGTCATTTACGGCGCCATGAATCAAGTGTTTAGACAGGAATTTAAAAATATTTTCTACGGTTTCAGTTGGAGAAAAAAAACATTCTCTACCAAAGTTTTTACACTGCAACATAGTTAATAGAGGAGACTGTTCACGGCTGCAGTCTCAGTTGAACAAACTTTCGCAAGAGCGTAAAGCTAAATGAGCTGAGCTACAGTACATTAGCGTTAGATCAATATTACTCTCACTTTCACCATTATCATCTGTCTACATTCATCATCATCACCATCATGATCAACATCATCACCATCATCATC